TCACACCGAATTCCCCTTTCCAAAGTTCCTGACTGTTTCTGTCTCAAAGTTTCTGCAGTGAACCCCTGAGGGGGAGACAGTAGACTAGACTGCTGCCCTGAAAATGATTATACGGTGCACTGCCGCAACTTACTTAAACTAATTATGGATATTTGTTGCCAAATTAGTTCACCTCAAGAGTAAATAGAGGGTTATAATGTTTCGTGGAAACATTCAATTCTCAGAAAAGGCGGTGGACTTTCAAGGAGAAGAGATTCCGTTGAAAGAGAGCTGTACAAAACATCAATGTTATTTTCAATTAGTTTTGGTTTGGTTCGGTTTTGGTTCAGGGAGCAAACTTGCCACAGAGATCAGAATATAATACAGGGTGGTCCAAAGTAATCTTCCACCCTGTATAATACTGGACGATTAGGTATGGTACTACTAGCACTGCTAGAATATGGGACACACTCAACTTCCGTCCCTGTCCCTAATAAATTGAGAGTCCAAAATCTAACGAGATTTCAACAGAGTGTGAACCACTGCCTTAGTTAGTTTCTGTAGTTGCTTTTTTGATCGTACACAAGAGCGAACAGATTCCTCATTCCAAGTGGGGGTAAGTTATTCGTGTATTATAAGACATTCGTTGATCCTTTTATGACATGAACCTAAAGACATCAGATGAAGCCAACATAATTTTACTTCAGGAATGTTCATGTCATTTCTGTCTCTGTAAAAATTAATCATAGGTTTAATCTCCAGACTCCAATATAAATATTTGTTTTATTTATTGAGTCATGTGATAAGATTTAAGGAATTGATGTTTGAACCGCCAAATTATTAAACTGTGATATTAAGAGATTAAGGTCCTTCACACTCTCAGCCCTGTTTGTGAAAATAATTCGTAAAACGTTTCCCCGATCTTTCACACCGTTATCTCCCTAACTCACAAACTGTTTGAAAGAGGTCATGACAAATAAGTCTTATCGTTAAACGAAGGAGGGGTTCACCCTTCACGTCTGTAAAGTAGTTCACTTTGCATGAGAAGACAATGCATTCGGCTTAAATTTCAGAAAATCTCAACAAATTTCATTATTTTTTCCTTCATAATAACATTTTTTCACAACTTACAATACAAAATATAAAGTAAAAACAAGATTAGCGTAGAAAAATGTGGAAGTCCAACTTTCGATGTCTCTAATTTTATGAACCGTATTTGATGAAATTGTAAATTTAAAAAACCGGAGAAGCTAGACACGTTTAAGGAGACCAGTCACGCACAATCGTTTTCATGAATTCCTAAATTGTATCATCTCTCAAATTATTTGCTATGAAGTAGTAGTGCAAAGAATCTTGAGACTTGAAAAATTGATTGGCCGATCGCGATGCTGCAAGCTGATTTTTCCAATTGCTGACATTGCCTGAAGATTTATGAAACAGCAAACTTTACGAAATCGTGATACTTTCTCTAAGAATTTGGTCCATCATTTAAGAAACGTACGTGACTGGCCAGTGGCCTCTCTAACGTGACGTTAACTCCATAGCCCTCGGTTCTCAAATAACCCAAAGAATTGTCTTATCTGTAATTGGCTAATCGTCACTACTGGATAACTGATAAACCATTGTGTCAAGTAGTACCTTACTCAAACTTACTTAGTCATTAAATTTATATTTTTTGCAGAATTTAGACCACGTACACGTTTAATTCTGTCTACTTTCCAGCTTGAGGCGTGACTTTCAATCCGAAACTTGATCCTTGAGTAATATCATTGCCAATTGCCATTACCTATAGCATGGCCAATGGTCATGGGTATCACTATTTGGTAGAATATTGTTTTTTATTTCTTGTAGACGTGATAGGGTGGTCACTGGCTAGGGCCACAGCATGTGTCACGGCCAAGTTTAGCGGAGTTTAGGGATACAGTGTCACACAATTCGCAGAACCGTCAAATCGTCACCATGACTGTGATTCTCTTGGACTTGCGGTGGATAACATTTTTTCAATTATCTCACAACGGTATTTTTATTTGAATCTCGACAAAATCAATTATAAACTTGTGCGTTAGTTTCTTACGATGACATTTTATTTTAGATTTCGGTGTGTCCGTATTTTGAATGCTTGTGTGTGATGATAAATGATACAACACGCTTGAAATTAAATAAAATTGGAATACATGTTTAAAATTTATAATTAAAAAGATATGCTCCCTTTCTGTTGGTCGCGGAATCTTGACTCTAAAATGAATATAATATTCAAAAAACGAATGTATAGTCCCATCAAACTGAATGATTCAGATTTGCAAAATCAATCGTCACAAATAAATACAATCCCTTATATCAGGCTTATTGTATCAACAAGCCTTAATTTTTACGCGTTCCAAATCTCAATTAATAATTTAACAATACATATAACAATAAAATCATTCAAATATTACTAACCATACTAGCAAACACAACAGCCAACGACAAACGATCCTTCGCCGATTAGCCATCATTATATTTATTATAAGGTGACAATCCTACAATTCTACCCGATAAATTGACTAATTGCAAATCCGCGACTTGCTCAATCTCCTTATCTCTTCCCGCTCCGTTTCTTCTCCATCTGAATAACGCACTCTAACAGATCGTTAAGTGAGGCTGAGGGGCCGAGTCGTCTGATTGCATCTTGGGATAGTTGTCTCCAGTTATTGTAGCCCAGTCTCTGGCAGTAAGATTCGAACCTCTCAGTTTTGTGTCGACTGAAAAGTGACATTTTCTATATAAAGGCGAAAGAAAATCGATACGTTTCATCTGCGAAGTTTGTCAAAGTGGTCGTTGTCGACTGACAATGTTCCGTAATAATAAGGTGTTTCATGAAAATAAAATTACCGAAAAATTGCTCGTAAATCAAACTTACTCTGACTGGCACTTTCTGTCATGATTCTTTCGTTCCGACTCAGAGTTAAAATGTTTCCGACAAAATCTGCACTCTACCATGTTTAACCTTTCCTGATATCAAAACTTTTTTAAACACAACGCATGAGAAATATACCAAGGACTGGGCAACCGTGGCCTTTATACCCCGGCTTATCAGATATAATTAACGTCGGGTTATACAGAATTTGAAATCTAACTGGGAGCTCGAGTTTAACCGGTGCTAAATTTCGTAGAAAACGTTTCAAATTGATCTCATAATTTTGTTTATTAAGTTCTTTTTCTTTTACCTCTATTTTCTCCTGTAACATAGTACGTCTATAGGGTTGACTATATATGTATTTGTGGAGAGGCTGGGCCTGGGTGGCCCACGAGAGGATAGCATGTGGATGCTTTGCCTACCTCTGGGGTATGGCAGTCCTATGGGAGGATGCCGGTGGAATCAGAATGTGTAATCTAGGATGATGGTTAGTGTTGTGAGATATGTCATAAATGAACGCTTAAGTGGTAGCTGGGTGTGGAAGAGAGAGGTGAAATAAGAGAACGTGTGAGTAGTCACTAGTCGCTCTGTTACAACAGTCTGGTCCAGCTCCTCTGGCACAATTAAGCGTTTAGTGTGGTTTGCGAAGTTGATGATAGTGGAGATGTTTTGGTTGTCGAATATGTCATTGACGGAGAGGTAGTAGTCCTGGAAATATTGCTCTCTTATTTGGGCAATAGCCAGGCACTGTCCAAGAAAGTGTGAGACAGTCTCCTCTTCGTCGCCGCACATAGGACAAGCACTTGTGCTTGATTTGCGAATGGTATGGAGGTGTTTGTTTAGGCCACAATGTCCCATGATGAGGTGCACACCTTTTCAAACCCACAACTTATAGATTACTGCAGCAGACATGTCTGGGCCAGTTTTCCAATGACCAGTTGCAGTCTGTCATGGTTTTTTAACATTGCCAGTCATTGCTAATATGAACGTAAGCGCACATCACATACGCTTACGTTCCATATTAAAAATGACTCGCAAAAATGGCAAGTCAGATAACTGCATATGGATAAGATTTGAGCTTTGTTGAACTTTAGTTGGAGAGAATGAATGGCCAACTAATTTAAGTCTTCTGCTGCTGCAGACATAATTATTGGAGATACGTGATGACTGAACAATTTTAAATAAAAGACAAAAATTTTAGACAAAAAATGAATATTGAAATTTTCATAAGAAGCAAAAATTCTAAATAAAACGAACATATTCTCCACATATACAACTACGTCAGGAAGCACTTTTTTGTCTATAATTTATTTTGCAATTTCGCTGCAGGTGTGCAATATCGGGTTTCTCAATTCGATTCATTATCATTAGTGTTTTAGTGACGTCATAATTTTTCGTCTATCAGTTACTGATAGTCAATTGCGCCTATACTAGGGCCTCGCCTCTCAGTCTAAAATTACATTTTTAGACTGAATTATCACCAATGTATTGGCCCGGAAGAGATCTGCAGTATTCAGATCATGATCACAGGATTTTATTTTAAGATGGAGCATTGGCTGATCTCTAGTCGCTCTATTACTATAGAAATTTCTTGTCTTGTCAGTAGTCTAGGTCACATACTAGGTCACATACTAGGTCACATACTAGGTCACATACCATGATAAGAATTGTATTCTAAATTTAACCATGTTAAATGTTTAAACTTAAGAAATTGAATATGTCTTTCGAAAAGTACAGTAATTGTCGTAATTTTGTGGTACTGCATGAGTGATTCGAGACGAATCTTTCGAAAATCTCAAATTCGAATGAATTTATAAAATTTTCTCGAGCTTACAAATTTAATAGCAGTAGCAAGCTTAGTACTAAGCGTTCAAAGTATTCATTCTAATTTAGACTATTTAATTTCGAGCTTTTCTAATTTGGATCAAGTTGTCCGAAGTTGTTCTTATTAATGTAAAATACTGAATATGGCAACACAATACACATGTCACCAAGACATAATTTTTCAAAAATATTTCAAATCAACTACGGTATAAAATTCTGTAAATATTCCCTAACTATTCACTATACACTCTACTTCAGCTTTCGTTTATTGAAAACTTATAATGACCAACTTTATTTTCAGTGATATTCAAAGAGCAGTGTTGGAGCACGGAAGAAGGCGACCTCATCGTACCACAGTATTGTTCCAACACCACTAACTACTGCTCAAAATGCTACTTCAACAAGGACGTCCAAGACTACCGCAACCATTACATGTCTTATAACGATAACAGGTTTTAATATAAGGCGGCGCGCGGCAGGCGGCCCACCGCGAAACACTAAGTAAAATTTGAGACTTTCCATCTCTTCAATTAATTCGCTCCAATTAGAGAAAAGACGGTGATGTTGAGTGACTCTGTGATTATCGCAACAGAAAAGGCCCAAGGGTGGGAATTTACAGGCCAAACTAGTAGTAGTAGTAGTAGTACCGGCCATAATAAATATTAGCATAATTATTGTTATTATGGAGTTATGGACCCGGAATCTCAAGTGGTTCAATCACATAGGGTACGAATTGCAATTGTAGACAAAATAATGATGGAATCATGAGTAAGTGTGTAGCAAGAGAGCAGGGGTCTTTCCTTCATCGACTGCGATTAATGTACGTTTTAATGACTACATCATTAGCAGTTAGCATACTTGTGCCCAAAGTGTTACCTCGTCAAATCCTCAACAATTAACTCACAGATCAAATTTTAATAAAATCATTAGGTGCCGTTCGGAAATAAGTAATTGTTCACAAATAAGTTATCTAGTATCTTATCCCCTTCCTTTCAATCTTACTAGAAAGAAATTCAACAACTGCTTATTTTCAGACTTATTGTTGGTGCCATGGACAACATATTCGCCTTTGACGTGACAGACAACTTGTTTGAGAAGTTACAACAAGTGGACGCCCGTCATCCCTGTGTGGTAAGAAAAGTATTTGTGTTGTTTATTAAATTATTACATTGTGAATTAGGTTGTTTATTAAATTATTTAATTATGACGCGGACGGTTCCTTGACGGTAGAAATGTCTTAAGATTAACGAAATAAATCTTGTACTGTCATACTTATGCTTTATTAGTGGTCAAAACAGATATAATTTAGTGCGAGCTTGATCTAAAAACTGGCATAAAAAACTGAGCATGAGAAGAAACCTCTTGATCATCAAACAAGGTTTTGATTTCAATAATTGGACCTAAAGATCATTTGATCGTACAATTCTATTCATTAAATCAATCATTCGTGGGTAAATGCAAATTTCGAACGATGGCGATGTCCTTTGTCGTACTGGAATGCATCTTACTATATATAAAGTGAGACGTACCATTTTACTGACACCACGGCAACAACTTTAACACGACGTTCCGCAAAAACCGTAAAGATATAAAACTGAAATCAGCATGAAAAAATAAAATATAGATCAAGAAATAAGAATTTTAGTGCCCAAAATTTGGACCCCCAAGTGGTGTCAAAAACGCGAATTAAATAGGTAATAATTATTTTAGTCTCTTGAGTCTTGACACCATTTTAGGATTAGACGGGTTCCTGCTAGTACATATAAAGACAATTTATGTATAATTTTATCAAAATATGTAATAACCGCTAAAAGGCGGTGCCATGCCCCATACTGTCTTAAACGGGAAATTTTTTCCGGATTATTAAATAATCAATATAAAAAGCGTTCGTTCTAGTGAGTCATAGACTTTTAAACTTATTATCTGTTATTTGTAAATATCCCAGCCAATATATGTATAATAATATGTCATGACCATCTGAAAGTTTCCGTTCTATAATAAATTTAAAAATGTAAAAAATTACTCTGGTAGAAAAAAGAGAAGCACAGAGCCATCAGAACTTTATCAATACAAAAAAAAGGTGTTATATTCCTGAGAATAAGGGCAGATTATATTGATTTTTCATGTTTCAAAAACACGTACAGTTACACTTCATTCGTTTAAACTAAATTAATAAATTAAGTTAACAACCCGATATACGATATGCTGATACTAAAATCTGGTCTGCCGTATGCCTCCAGTTGTATTTATCACAACAAAAAGGCTCGAATAGAGAGTTAAGTTAAAGCGCTTATCAATTGCATTGCACAATCGACGGCCATTCAGAATCAAAATAGATTCCCAATTAATGAAGGATTTCTCAGCTTAAATGGATGGAAGTATCGTTCAATTTTAAGTGCTTGTGGAATATATAAATGATCGTTCAATTCCATCGACTGCAACCCCACCCCGCTCACTGAGCTTTAGTTAAGTGGTCTTTTGTTCTACAAAAGTGCAGCGGTAGCTGTACGGGGTGATGCGCCCTCAACTATTACAAGATTTTATTTCGCAATCGGCAATGATTTGATCACCAGAATATTCATGCTCTTGTATAACAGAATGGATCTTAGAGTGAAATCATCTTATGCTCGAACAATCTGCAAACTTTCTATCGCTATAAGGAACTTTCTAACGCTTTAGCAATCTTTACAAAGGCATATCTTAATCTTTCTCTGGGTTGGGTCAGAAGTCTGACCCATATCTTAATCTTACCATTCCAGCCAGTAAACTGCTGGACACTCTGAGCATAAGTAACCGGCAAACTTTTTAACGATGATTAATATGTCTCCTGATTTTGCAGGAATCCTGCAAGAATTACAACCGGCTGCTTCTTCCTCTCCCAGACACAGGCCAGATCCTGACGTGTGGAACTAACGCTTACGCTTGCCAGATCAGAGAGGTAAATATTTGAAATATTTGGTTTTTTAAATAACGTAATTAGTTTCGATCTAAGCTGTGGTTAACAGTTTTCAGGATTATAAGTACAATGAATGTTCACACGGTTATCTTTAAAATTCTGATATTTGGCTTCTGGTGGCATTCCTGGGGCACTCCTGGAGCCACACAGTATTTATCATTATTTGCCGTGATTGATACTCAACTATGAACCCTTTTAAAAGCCCACGTCTCTTTGACTTTAGTTTTTCCTCCAAGAATGATTGGATATAATATGTATAATGTATATATAATATATATTATAGAATTATCACCATCGACTTTTAGTCTCGTTTATGAATTTCTGATCGGATATTTCTAAGCTGTGTTTATTCTTGTTGTAAGTGTACTAACATCCAAGGAATCTTGAGATAAGTGTGGTGTTTACCTGAAGCAGAGAATATCGTACAGGAACAATTTATCATATATATTTATTTTCAATATTGTTCAATATTGTTCCTGCATCGTACAGGAACAATATTGGAAATGAATATATGATAAATTGTTCCTGTACGATATTCTCTGCTTCAGGTGAACACCACACTTATCTCAGGATTCCTTGGATGTTAGTACACTTACAACAAGAATAAACACAGCTTAGAAATATCCGGTGTTTACAAATTTTGAAATGATCCCAGAAATTCTTAAATGAGACTAAAAGTCGATGGTGATAATTTCTGTTACGCCTCGCCTGCCCTATCCGTTTTTGCAGTATATGTGGTTCAAATGTTGTGGGAAGTAGGATAGGTAACACCGTAATCTGGATCTTATCTGAATTGCTACGGGGCGTAAATTTAATAACGAGCAGAGAGATAAGAGGATCGTGTTACAGTAATCTTAATATGGGAAATATAAGTCTCAAGAGAATCAGTTTCCGGGAAATGAGCCTTACTTTATGTTTTATTTTTATGTTTTATTTGCTATCGTTACTTTTCTTTTCCCTAGGGGTAACCTAAGACGGCGTATGCAATATTATTATTTTTTGATCCGATGAAGTCGTTTGGTTTTATAATAAACTTTAGCGTTAATAGTTGAGCGTCATTGATCAGATGTCTTCCGAGGGGTTCCACAGAAACACGAAACCAAGTTAAATAACATTTATACTAATGTGTTGAGAGTTTAATAATAACATACCCCCACGCGTAGTGTCTGGTGAGTTTAGCTTTACTCTCAAGAAAGATGATAGAATCAGCTGATTGTGGCATGTTCCTAGTGCGACTTGTTATCTGGGGACTGGGTAATGAGCTTTTTGAACTTGCAATTGAATAATTGAGTCGTGCAACAAATTATATATTGTCGATTTAAAGGATTCTGAATTTTTGGTGGGTGCTGAGGTTTACAATGATAGGTGTTTAATGACGGAGTTATTGAGAGTGACTTAGAATAATCAACTTTCATGGATATACCGAGACCACTTTCTTTGGCTTGGACCGAAAATATGCCGGGACCAGGTCTAAAATCGGGTCTGTGACGAGGATAAGTGCCGATGTGGGCCACATCGCTAGGAATATCACCGACAAAGATTCGAAAGCGCGACACTCCAAGCTACGTATGATCAGGAACAAGCTGGATCCAAACCACCGAAATTTAAATGATATAAAATCAATAATTTAATGTTGTTGCTTGGTTTCCCACGAAAAGTGCTCATCTACAGACAAGCAGGAACATTATATTTCAAACAAGTGAAACAATCAAATAGGTGGGCAGACGAACCGTTTCATGATATAGTTATAAAAACAATATCAATCCTCATATTATCTACAAAATGAAACGACGGTTTACGTCAAACAAACGTTTCAATCAATAGAAAAGCATGATCTTTTCTTGTATTCCACTTTAAGCTAGCCGATAGAGCACTGTCAGCAGACTACACCTCCCAAACGTATAAAATATATATACAGTAAAACCCCGATTTACCGTAATAAAATTAAATAATAATAGATCAGTAGTTAATAAGGAGGATAAGATGCAGGGTTTAAGTGAAAAACGGGACTTAAGTGAAAAACGGGACTTAAGTGAAAAACGGTACTTAAGTGTAAAGTTAACCATATTAAAGTTTATTAAAGTATATCCCCGGGTCAAAATCGGAAAAAATCCTACATTTTAATATACTTTAATATACCTACAATTAGAAGATTTAGATTCTTCGTTAAGATTTACATGATGAACTATAGTTTTCACTCAGATTCGCAAGATAAGCCTGTTTTAGGACTAGTACATGAATTTCCATCCAGATTGGTCAAAAATTGGCTGAGCTATGAGCTTAAAAAAATATGCCCATATTTGGGCATACGCTTTTGCCCAAATTCGCTTTTGCCCAAATTCGATAAAATTTCAATATTTTTTAATGAGACTAAACTCTATGTGAAAGATATAACTCAGTGTTTGTTGAATATAGTGGATACTAAGTAAAAAGACCTCCATGAACAAAATTGGGAAAATTGCACATAATATCTCGGTTCGGAATACCAGCCAAAATGTCTTCATTGAAATTGAAATAACTCCATCAGTTTTCAATATTTTTTCAAGAACTTTTTGGAAGCAAAAAGTATTTCCGAACAGATACTTAAGTACAAAAACTTAAGTCAAATTTTGTACGATATGTTTTACTTAAGTACATACTTAAGTACGCTGTTTTTCACTTAAAATGTAAGTATGGTCCGGAGGTTACTTAAGTGCAATAATTATAATTAACTCAAAGGGGAACGAATAATTATGTTATCAAAATGGAAGTAGAATTATTTATGAGATTATAAAAATGTTTTGCGAACGGAGGAAATTGTGAGACTATATATTACATAAAAAACAATAATTATGCAGTATAATACAATAGCCCTGAAAAATTTCCCAAACAATACATTGTCCCCCCTCACGTCTTTCTGCACGAAACGTGACTAAGTCATGTTTCAGAAACAACTTAAGCGCGAGTTTCTACTAAAATATGAAACGAAGTTTCGGAAACACATTACACAAGTATAGTTTCGGAAACAATTTTTCTAAATTTACTTGGTCTACATATCACTTAAGCATTTTTTTTTTCTTCGGAAAAGGCCCCCAGATATATTCTTGTCCCCCGCTCACTTAATCTTCACAGCATGTCCTGAAGAAATAATCTCTGCAGAATTCCTCTGCAAGCGAGCCAAATTTAGATATGTGTGCCTCGTGGAGCTACGTCCACTGCCCAGTCTATAGTGCTGAAATAAAGCTCTTTGCAATTACCAACAGTAGCGACTTATAAATGAAAGGCATACTTCCTGTCACTTCTTGGCCTTCGCGCACTTAACCTTCACGTTGTCCTGCGGTAATAATTTCTGCAGGATTCCTCTGTTGCAAGCGAGTCGGATGGGCTAAAGAAGAGATTGGTACCAGGTGGAACCCACTGCACAGTCTCTCCTGAGATAAACCTCTTTACCAACTTCAGAACAAGCAAATATAAGATACCTCAACCTGCACTACTCCTAACAACTCAAATATATAATGTAGATTCTTGAGAACTCTGAAGACTTGAGGATGGATAAAACAATACCGACTGTGACTAAATTTAATCGGATCATGACAAGAATTGGGTGTATGGAGCATATAATTATATCACGTAGAAATGATATGTATTCTTGTGTAAAATTGATATGAAAGAAATGATAAGATGAATTACTTTTTACTGATCTTAGTTGAGAAATTTTATAGTAAATATGTTTTTTATAATGGCGGGGAAGTGATCATTATTTTCGACAGAAAACTGAAATAACTCTTACGAGATGCTTGTGATATTTTGCTTCATGATTATTGTAATTATTGTGGCCGCGGACATTTCACACCCTCTTAAGCAGCTAACCGTAACGGCCTTTCTAATTTTGAGTTACAAGGATTTCAGAAATAGGGCGATTCTGATGGATCCTTGACTAGACAGATGCTAGCACTATTATACTGCAAAACAAGACGAGAAGGAAGGAAAAGTGGTATTGTATTCCTCCGCGCATATATCAACTATGCAATGACATTATTTAACCATGACATCATGTTCTTAACATTTCAGATCAAGAACTTAACCAAGTTCAAACGATTGAGTGGTGAGGGGTTTGTCCCTATTAACGAGAACGCACAGAACACAGCTGCGTTCTCAGACAGCAGGATATTTGCTGGTTCTATGATGTCGGGTGACGCTGCTGACAATGCCTTTGTTGTTGCTAGTGCTAAGGTAGCTAGACCGTCACGCCCCTTATAATTTTCTATGTATTGTATTGTAAAGGACCCGATAAATTTTAAAAAAGTAAATCTAATATAATATGTGAATGGACAAATGATCAAATAAAGGAAATTGTTGCATAATTCCACTTTTCAGATCGGTAGAGAAGGCGAAAAAGCTTCCTTTGTAAACATTGTGGCAACTAGCCCCAGTATTGAGGTGCTTAATCGTGCAAAGTTCGTCGCTTCGTTCAGCAGCGGTGACTACGCGTACTTCCTATTCCAGGAAATAGAATTCTCCACTGGAGACAGAGTCAACAAGGTGAGTACTGTTACGTGTAGATCGAGAGAAACGGTGCAGTTTTATACTCTTATAAGAGTCCAATAATATAAATATTATTGGACAAATGGACCATTTGAAATGGTATTTAAACGGTGATCAGAGTTTACTCTAAAAGGATACTTTTTAAAAATAAATAGCGGCTATTTATTTTGTCATCGTTTAAAAGTTTTAGTTTAAAGAATTTGTAATATTCCGGTTACAGGTTGTATCACGCATTGCCAGAGTTTGTAAAGAAGACACGGGAGTAGCGGCAGATCTGGAATATTTCGATAATGCAAAATTGTGGCAAACGTTCGTAAAATCACGGATTTACTGCGAGAACAAGGTCACAGATCCAACCTTTGGAGAGCAGACCTTTACGTACAACCGTGTCGGTATGTTGAAACACTATTTTAATTTCTAAAGAGGTCACAGTGTCACCATGGATATTCCCATTCCGTGATCTCGGAACTGAATTAATCTACGCGGCACATTGCAAATGGTAATGTGCCGCTGTTTGCCAATGACTATGTTGAGTCAAATTAGTAGAGCTATACACAATACAGTATACACTCTTGTACTTGATACAATTACCTGCTACAATTTGTATATTCCCTTCCCGATTAAATATTAATAGAAACAATAGAAATACTTACATTATTCATTGTTTAGGATGTCTTTCTCATATGACTAGGAAAACTGGTGGTTTCGGATGAACAAACCACGCATATTTAAAGATTTGTTAACTGTTTACTAAATTATGTTCAACTCCCAGGAGCTGGTATTATCGACGATAACAGGATTCTGTACGCAGCATTTTCGGAGGGTGACACCTCAGCAAGTGGTTCAGTTGTATGTCGTTTCAACCTAACCGAGATCGACATTAACTTCAACACCGCTAAATACAATCACTTCAACACTGTTGGCAGCTCCCGACCTAAAGCCAAATCGAGGACTCCCCCTACTTGTGAAGATATTGGAAATGCGGAATCTGAAGATATATATGTAAGTTGACATAATCCTTGAAAAAACGATTAATACCCTTCTCCCAATGACCTTTCACCTTGTTTTTTCATAATCTGGTATTATTCTTTTATCGCTCGATTTAATCTGTAGACAATGGTAATGTTTATTAAATTTATTAAATTCGAGGCACTTTCACAGAAATATTCATTTTTTAAAACTAAGTTAAAATAATGTCAGGAGTTGATGTTGACTGTTGATGACGTCACGTCGAAGGATCCTCCTCTGTTCCTGCAGTCGGGACCGCAGTTTACTAAACTTCTGGTGGACTCCAACATTAGAAACGTCTCAAACCCTGTTCTCTTCATTGGAACTAGTAAGCAGCTTGTTAAATTTCATATGACCGACACGAATAATTTCTATGATTTTTATTGCTAACGTGGCTTGGTTATCTCACTGTCTCTGTAGTTACATCGAAATTGGAGAAAATTAAACTATGCATAAACTATGCATAATGTGCATTATAAAAGTATAAAGTTACGTGCTTTCGATATCGATGTCTGCCCATTGACGTCAAAAACCGTTTTAACAAATTATGTGGCCTTGTCGTTATGTAGCCTAGCAATCAATATGTTGCTAGCGCTCAATTATTCAAAAATAATTTAATCGGAAAACTTTAATTCCAAAACCTACGTTTCTAAATATCATATTTATCCCCTCAGACATGGGGAAAGTTCTGAAGGTTACATGGCGCACAGCTGATGACGGATCCTTCAAGCCTATCCTTATTGAGTCCATGCAAGTTGCTAAAGGAGACACCAAATCAGATTTAAGCGTCAACTTTCTGGCGTTTGAGAAAACTATCGATCCTGTGAGAAATTTAGCGATATCAAATCAAATCTTTATTTTCAGACTTCAATAGAACATTGTGAAGTATATTTTAGATAAAAAACAAGTAAAATGGTGTGAACTGCTACTTTTAAAAATACCTTTGAACCTTTTATTAAAACCTTTTAACCTTTCATCGATCACTCCACATAATCACTCACTCGGACTCACATAAAATGTTGACCCTACTGACGGTGGAATCTCCCCAGAACTATCTATTCGTGGGTACGGGTACCTCGGTCTCCAAAGTAGTTATATCGCGGTGTCTCCGGTTCCCGAACCTGACCCAGAACTGCTGTTACGCGTCACTGGATCCCTACTGTGGGTGGTGTAGTGTGATGAGAAAGTGCACCAGCAGACCAGACTGCAGGTTTGTCGGATTCATTTGTCATTCCTGGTTATTCCTGGTCAGCTTAGTTTATATCCGTAAATTGAGTTTAGGAACTTTGTGTTTTAATATTTTCCTTTTCACTAAACAAGTTAGTCAGTGAAACCATAACAGGATTGGCAAAGGATTACTATTTTACGTGTCTGACGAGAGCACGTAAGTGCAACATATTGCAGCTATACGTTAATAAATATACCATCCGACTTATGGAGCATTACGTAAACAAGCTGGGTTTAAACTATATAATAATAATATTATTATTAATATAATAATAATAAAAACCAGTAAAGGATCAACTTTGTTTTGCTTTAAACTAAGCAAATATATTTTCCATAATGGCCTCCCTTTACTCTTCATGTGTAACCTCTGCTTAAAGCTATATCCAGCTACACGTTCATGTAATAACAACTTCTTATCAAGCGGGGGGGGGGGGTACCAATGGCATAAAATGGCATAAATGGCATACGTTTTATGGCATAAATGGAAATTTTTATTGGCCAATTCTCCATTTATGCCATGAATTTAGGTCTTCATATTTGACTATAAATTCGCAAATTATTATTAGTACTTGAATAAGAGACATCTTTCATGCTTTATAACGCTTGGAATGATTGTTAAAGATTCATATGACAAATAAAGAAAATAGAAATGTATTATATCAAAAATGGCATAAATGGCATACGTTTTATGGCATAAATGGAAATTTTTATTGGCCAATTCTCCATTATGCCATCTATGCCATTGGTACCCCCCCCCCCCCCTATCAAGCTAACATAGTCTATCTGTGTTCCTATCTAATGTTGCAGTCAAGCTATTTGTACATTTTATTCTAGTGGACCCTGTCTGTCATAGCACAAAATAACATAACATTGAGATGTGAGTTTATGTGAAAAGCTCAAGATTCTGTTACATATTATATCTATTTTCATTTTTCCCCGTGTTATTTCTATAGAAAATTATGATTAATTTTCATCAGTTAATGAACTGGTAATCATCCACATTCCACGTCCATATTAAAAACCACATTCTTACTGGATCCCGTTGAATTTTGGCGTTCACTGACACTATGAACGTAGTTTTAAAGCATAGGACGTAATCCGAAACTTGGAAAGTGTTACTGTACAATGTACGTCCACAAGCAAGCCATGATATACGTATGTTCTGACTTCTGACGTTTAACAGAAATGTTTCAGCAAGAACTTTAGAGCACCCTAGTAATTATCACAATTATTCGTCCCATAAATTTATCTTACCCGGAAAGCTGACTTATCTTGCGCTCTGAATTATCAAGTTTTTAGCAGGAAATTTGCCACGATTATTTCCTTTTCGTTTCGAAATTGTTGACGTCACCGCCTATCTTAGCAAAGTTATTCAAAAATGAATTATTTATCATGCCAAATTTGAACATTATCATGATAAAATGAATTAGTGTATATCATACCCAATTTGAAGATTATTACACTTCGCTGATAGAGGCCTTTCTCTTATCTGAATTGGCGCGTATTTCTAAGATAAAAACTTGTCTTATCTGTGAATCTTAAATTGAATGAAATTGAAATATATCAAATTATGGGCTGATCCTTCTGAAAATGTAGGGAATATAAATATACTGTTTTCATAATATTATCATTACGTAGACTGTCTAATCTAATATCATAACCTAATAATTTCTTAAGACTGATCTTATTATACCTAAAATTCTTCAGAATATGTTTCTTAACTGTAACAGCCGCAACCAAGACATGGGTGGCTTTCCCTAAACCATCAACTTTTAAATGAGAAAAACCATGCCGTCAGCAGATGCTCCCATTTATTAACTTTACCGGTAACTTTATAACCAAGCACTTAAAAGTTTCTCTCGTGACACATACTCAATCCAGTGATGATGCTGACACAATCTGTTGATGACATCATCAAAACTGTGGCAGGTTGATCTTCAATTAACAGTTAAATACGCTACTTGACAGTAGAATAGCTACGGAATGTTATTGCTGAATCATAAAGTCTATTGTCTGGTGACGTCAGCTGTTGATGTCTGCCTGGTGACGTCAGCAGCGCTGTCTCCACGGACAGTTTTGTCGCTCTGTGGTGTGATAGTAAGGAAGGGATTAATATTCAGCAGAAATCAAACAACAATAAAATATTAATAGATACAGGCACGGGTTTTAAAGATGGGATTCATAGCGAAATTATAGTTAAGATACAATTACAATATGTACTAAAAGCATCCATTGAGAAACAGCTGTGAATCTCTGCATTGCCTTGAATATCAGTTGCTTTAACAATTAACATGGCAATTGATGAATGGAACGTGTAAGATATATTAACCTTCCTTATATTTCAGTTCGGACTGGATACAGAGCCTGACAGCCACTGCTCCTGATGAAAGTACCTGTGAAAGTACGTATCTAATAGTGTCGTATAAATGTCACGTAATCTCATCCTTCTGTCTTGTGACGTCACGACAGGTATCGTGACGTCACGTTATCTGTCATGACGTCACTCTTGACAAGTGATGTGACGTGTTCTGTGGTGGTTTTTTGAGTTTGCAGATTTTGTGGTTTTTCTGTTTTTTTTCTCTTTGATGATTTTCGTCTTTCCGATTTAATCAAGCTCTTTGATAATCACCCATGATAAATCCATTTTCATAAAAAGAATTCTCGGTTGTTCCATCTTTAACTGTGTTAAACCGTGTGTCTTGTTATCCTGTTGCAGTCTAACCTGCGTTTTGTCTATCACTGAAATCTATACAATTAGAACAGGAGATAGATTCGAATAAAGATTTAAACCCTTTATTCCGAACTAAACAATAGATACTTTATTCAAGCTAAATAATAAAAGTACACTAGCACGGTGCTAGTAGAAGTACTATAATACGTTGACCGCTGTAGTAATCCGCTGTACTAATATATATGTCCCCCTGGCCAACAGTTAATCACCACCACACCACGACTCCTCACCACCACACAAGTAAGCACCCTCACTCACTAGACCACCCTACTCTCAATCCAGGACAAGATAACACTCAAACGCCTTCGCCGACCACCGCCCCGCCGCCGACAGAGCCGCCGACGACCAAAGGTAACGGAAATCTCCCACTGCCACCCCTCTATCTTTTAATATCTCGGTAGCATCGGGAGCAAGTTTAATGATCATGAAAATGATTTGTGCTTCAATTCTTTATAATTATATGATCCGTGCATGCAACATACGCAACAAATCTGTTCTTATATTATCGACCTCAATCCTACAGCTTTAGATTTTTGTGATTCTTTCGATTTTTGTCTGGAGATGTCAATTAATCCTTGCCTTTCTGTTAGCCTGTGCAAAAATTGAAAATCATGATTTAAAACAACTTTTCTTTGTAGATCCCGTGATCAAAAAGTAGCATGGTTCAGGGCTAGTATGGTCACTTAAAACCCTTCTGAACCTCATTCATTAAAAACTGCAGGTCTTTTAAACAATTTCTTCCTACCCATGGTAGATATCATGGAATCGTTTTTGGCGGTAAGGGACGTGATGTCCTCGAAACCCTAGAGTTCTGAACCATGGGACTTCGTGCATGAACTAGGGAATGTCTCATGATCTGACTAACTCAAACTCTGACTCAAAACTCTGACTGATCTCTGCTAATCTGCTGTTGCTTTTCGTGTCTGTGACAATCGATTCCGCTGATTAAAAGTTTGCGAGCTCCATTTTTTCTCCAAACTCCCGATATTTTTATTAATATTCTATGTTGGAATGATTTGCATGCCTATTTGCTTGTGTAACTGTATCTTTGTGATACTATCATATTTTTGAAGTATGTTCAGATCACTGCTTCACTAAGACAGTGTATGATTTTGTGCTGCGTGTTTGAGTGAGCTAAACTGTGTACGTGAGCTATGTGTTGCGCTATTTCATTGACTAACATGTCATAGGACGAGATCCGACTCCCGTTCCCAAACCGACGACCAAGCCGGACAGTCATGAGACAGATCGTCCAAAAACAGAGCCGGAACCGACAGAGCTAGTACCTAAAACACTCAAACCACCCACCACCAAACAACCACCGCCCGATAAAAGCACGGATATCACCAGGGAGCCCGTCACCGCCACCAGGGAGAGCGTCACCAATAATAACAGCACAGGTACCGTATTGACTCTCTCGCGCGTAATGTGATGACGTCACGTTACGCGTGACATGACGTCACGTGATCGTGGTGACGCGCGGAGCGATAATATCTTGTCTGGGGTGCGTGTGGTGCGGGTACGTCCGAGTGTTATCTTGTGTAGATATGTGAGAATGCTACAGCACAAACACCAACTCATTGCACGTGTTAGATATTGGCAAAGCATCCACTTCATTTTTGGGTATCAAGCACATTCCTCTGATCCTCCTCACGTGTGGTAGTATGTGAGTCGCGTGTTATTTTGTTGTGACCTTGCTTTTTGTAACCTCCTTTTTTCAGGTTCTCACACTTTCATGGTCTACTTTTATAAGACTCAACAACACCAAACATGCTATCAGAAAACTCACACTCTCACCACTGTACGAACGTTTTATATATTTGTACAAACTGCATTATGTGAGTGTTTTTCAGCCTGAAATTCTAACACCGAGTAACCCCTAGCCCCTCCCTTTTCCCGCTAACACAGCACACAAACAACTGCAGGATATTTTAAGATAGTAGTGGACGGTACTGATCCCTACGTCAAGCCTGTTGAACCTTCTCCGTGCAGCAACCCGAGCATCGCCCCGTCGGAAGGTGTAACATTCATTACGCTTAGCTCGAACATCCGCCACTACAAAGTGTTATCCATAGTGCTTGGAATTCTAACTTTCGTATTTGCCGCTACTTCCTTCCTCTTGGCGGCCATGCAAATAGGACAGTAATGTAGTCAGCTGAACTTGCCGTGAATATCGCGGCTTTTAACTATATAGCTCGCTCAACCGCTACCTAGCACTCTCTGAAGAACATTATCAAAAGCCCGAAAAACAAAGCACTCGAAGTTGGTGGATATTATCGGACACTATCATAGGGACAAAGACAACAAGCCTGACAGACACATGTTACCTTGCTGTTTTCACTAACTAACTTTCTATCTATCAGCCCCATGCAACTCTTAATAAAGCAAAGTAGAAGGAGATATCTGGCTATCTTTAAAGTCGTCGTGCAATGTTATATAGCTGATGTGTCACTGAAAGCCCCCTTCAAATTCTTCTCATTCCTTTGTCATGTTCCTATTCGCATCTGTAACATACTAATTTTCCCAATGTGTCTTACTGTTAATATAGACTATTGAGATCCGTCTCATTTGTTCGAACGTTGTTGAGGGAAATTGAGGGACATTGATAAAAACGGATGTATTAAAGTTTAGATGTGGTGTCCCGGTGCTCTCGTAACTTGATGTCCCTCACCTCTCAGTTTTGGAGTTTTGTGTACAAGAGTGTGTGAATGTTAGTGTAAGAATGTGTGAAAAGTGTGTGAAGCGTGTTACAATTTGTGTGATAATATGTGCATGTCCAATTGTGTGCTCCTATAAAAGCTATTGCTTCCGCTGTTTGTCTGTCAGTGCGTCTGCGCGTGTGTTATTCTCCCGCTAAACCTATTTAATCTGAATGTTGTTAATGAATTTGGCAAGCTCCCACTTAACTTAACCCGCAAAATGAAACAGAATGATGCTTACTTATCTGACTAGTTTTCTTCTTTGTTTGAATTGAATTATTTAAAATTTGATCATTTTTAGGAGCTCGGTAAGGCTCCTAGAAACCAATCATCTATTTAAAATATGTGGGACCTTGCCATTTTCCCGTCTTTTCTTGCTGCTTTGTCCGCTGTCCCAGAGTGGCACTGCTGAGAGTGAATAGTTTTGTCTGTTCGCGGGATAGTGCCGCTGCTGGAGCGGCAGGACAGGGCCAGGAGAAGGAGGGACTACAGCAACCACTTCAACCTTCACTTCTTCAGCCGCAGATCCCGACGGTAGAAATGGTAACGAGGACGCTGTTACGAGTGAAACAGCTGGCTGGAAAAAAATTGCCATCGTCATGGCAACCCTGTGTGGAATTTTTGTGTTGATATCAGCGCTGCTGGCCCTTAATCTGGCCAGAAAGTGGTGTTATGCCAGCAGGAAACCGCCCCAAAAAATGGGAAACAATAATCTTCAGCACAATTACAATCCCCTTGCCTCACAAGGACCCAAATCAGAAGACTTTTCTGACAGAATACCCGTATATAATACCAGAACTAACAACGTGTAGTAGTAAAACCATGGTCCTAGATTAAGTAGCGTATTTTCTTCATGTGTTTGTATAATTGTGCCAACAGAACAGATATGATTGCGATTTTACAAATTTCAAGCTTGAAAATGGGGAGAACATTGATGAAATGGGTGTACATGCAAAAAAATTCTCACAGATACCGTGCATATCTGCTCACAGATTCCGTCACAAGATGTTTGCCTCTGGCGAGGGGAATAACATTTGAGATTTGTTCGTTTACTTTTGACGTTGCGTGAATATTTACCGTTTGTTGTGTATTTATTATTTTTACTTCTGTTTGTATCTGTTTTTAAGCATTACAAAATAATGTTTAGTCTGTAGAATTAAGGTAGTGATATGAATTTGAGTGTGTGTCTTAGCTGCTCATTTTGAGTCATTTCTGAAGTTTTAGGTTCTGAGTTCTGATTGTTTTTCGCTAGTTAACTTTCTCTTAAAAATGAGATAAATATGATATTAATAAACAAAAACTGAACTATGATTGTGTTCTCCTGGATTTCTAGTTGATGTGATCCAGTTACTGCTGACGGACTTTCATTTAAATGCGCAGTTTTTCAGCGCGGCGCAATATTTCTTGATAATGATAATATAAAATTTAATCAATTTTGGATTTCCACAAGGCGTGACCGCTGATTTTAAATAAGCTGTGATTTTGGTTTTTAAATGGTTTGATCTAAATGCTGAGCATGGTTTTATATTTTAAATGTTGCAAAGCTCCAAAATGTCAGACTCCGAGGGAAGTCGCGATATTTTACCATTTAATACTTCCCGGTCGCCCTTTCCAACATACTACATAATATAGGCGAACGAATCAAAATTATTATAAACCAATACTTCAAATATATCTCCGGGCGTGAACATCTTCACTACTATTCATTAGGGTTTGCCTGCTGCACCCCTCTTTGGTCATGTATGGTCAAATTGCTGTAGAAACGAAATGATATGTCGACATTGAACCGTCAGGTGAAATATATTGAAGTTACCTTTCAATGAATCATGCTTCGAGAACTATTGGGAGTGGGAAAGAATGCGGTGCTTCAAAATCATCCCTGTAAAACTCACAAAAATGTGATCCTTTACTATGGCTACAAAAATATAAACTAGCTGAAACAATTTTTTATTAAATCTTTTAATGGCCAAGACAATTACTAGATTATCCTTATGAATTGACTTTAAGCCCTTTATTCCGTCCTGAAGAGGGTGTTTTAGCGACAGGATATTATGTACTGTGTAAATAATTATGCTATTTATTTTGTTATACATTTAATTTATCGTTCATTTGGAGTGTTATGAGGTGCAGGTAAATATATGCACAATGTTTTTGAAGTGACTCCGGTGCTAAGTTTTATAAATTACATTATTCACGAGGGAATAAATCTGTAGTTGTCTCACTCGAAAGTTTGTAACCTTAACTTTAAGAGAACGTATTGCCAAAAATATCCTTTAAATTGATATTGCCTGATATTTGAAACGATTCGATTTTTCAAACAAATTCTCCAATTTATTTTGTTTTCAAACATTCAAATTATCAAACGCTGTGATTGGGTTTAATTGTGAAAAATATACAGATTTTAATCATCCTTGGAAACTATCTGACGGTTAAAATAGTAAAAAATATCGGTAAGAATATTTTTCATTTACAAACTCTGAGTGACCAAAGATCAGACAATTTTTAAACGGTTTATTTTATAACTGGTCATCTAACCCAACTTAGAAATAAATATTCTTGCAGAGCTATGTGAAAGATCCTTGGCCACTCTGTTCACCATACAGTCTTTATTGTTTATTTTCGGTTCTACTTTCAACTTCATTTCGAATTTAAAATCTTATTGCAGCCAAACACTACAATCAGGGCTAGTCACCGCTGTCATGCCATTAAACTAGCATATCCCGAGATTTTATCTCTGGTATCAGTATTATCCACGAATTTCTTCTCGATATCCAGTCTAAGAACTAGTAGTAGTTACTCGGACGTAAACATTCGAACTGTTTAATGATTGTCTTGGTGTGTACCTTCTATCCGACACTCCTTTATCTCGAGTAGTGAACACACCCCTCTACTTTCCGAGCTGGATATTTTCGACAATGCCCAAGTTATCGTCCCGGGAGGGCTGTTCTGTGGGCCCCTCTCTCAGAGCCAGCATCTCCACGGACTGGGCCCTACTGACACGGCCCCTGGTCTCGTTATCCAGGTAGTTGTTCACCTCAGAGTAGACATCCAGTTCGTTTCTGCTGTTCGCAAGCGAGGTGTTACTCTTTATAAACCTTGGCTCTTGGTTTGACACTGAAGGTGTTTAAGTTGAAGCCAGGTGTTGCAGTGGAATTTGCACACTGATATTTCTTCAGAAAAAGTTATGATTTTGCCAGACTTCGAGTAAAAGAAAACCCACTTGGTGCATCACATAACATCTCGTTTTATATGAGTGATTGTGTGGACTCGATACACCCTCACACTATACAATCTTACTCACGTTGTGTAGAGTAATCCTCAGCTAGGTACATAAGAGCTGTTTCACTGAACCTCCGGCTAGTTCTCCCTCTCTGTGCCAGCTTGTCTATTGAACTGCTCTCTGTCGGAGAGCGGGACAAACTCCGTCTGTAGTTCACACTCCTGAAAGAGGTCGTTTGTTCTGAGGATGTGCCATTGGTGACAAATTTGGTGGATGATTTTTATCAGTGCAGGCCTTGAAGTGAACTGTGGAAACTGTGAGATAAGATGGGTTATAATAAAAAACGTTACGGTAATTGCAATAATACAAACTGTAACTTGGTTAAATTTGAAAATAGCCGTGAAAACCGTGAGCTGTTTACAAAAGGCTGGATCAGGATGATCATAGACCAGGCTTTGCTTTTTCAATTTGTTGGCTAAATTTTATCCGTATGTGCACGGGCATTTCGTATCATCGGAGGAAATTTCCAGAAGGAAGATACCTCTCAAACTAAGAACTTTTAGCGACAGTAGCTACGAAACCGAAGAGAATAACCGTGACATTTTGTACAAGGATCACTTTAATATTGCCGAATCATCATTGACCAAATTTGTATTCAAAAGAAAACGATCTTGTTCATCTTATAAAATAAATGTAGGATTAACGCCGACAATATAGTCTAAAAATGAATATGTGTCCGGATGAGTCTAAATAAATAAGGATGAGACCGCTGTCGACTTACCGATACTCTCTGTAACTTGTCGTGTAGCATGAGTTGGCTCTGTTTCGGCAAAAGGTAACTGTTGCTCGAACAATCTCTATTTCTAATCTACCCTCGACCATATCTTCCAGCGTACTGATTCACAAATTTAAATATATAAGACGGTAACAGCCGAAAGCTAATCATCAAGAATTGAGCTTTTTCTAAAACTGTAGCCTTATAAGAAGTAGAGAAACGTGATGGTGCAATAAGTGCGCTATTTAGGTCCTGATATCCATCAACATTTTCGCTATATCGTGAAATCTATGATATAACTATGCTCATGATGCTCGAATTTTGATTTAAGTGCATCACGTGACACTAGTTGAGCAAGACTTTGACCCACTGAGATGTAAAAATGCGACTGTTGGCCACCATAAGACACTGTAGCACTTATGAGCGCAGCAAGAGAGGGATTGAAGGTCCACACTGAGTTGTCACATGATTTAATTGTTGGAGTGATAAAATACAAGGTCTCGTGTCTTGTGGCAGCACTTGACTATATTATTTTAGTGCATATATTCCCTTACTTGCCTCATTCTATCTATCTTGGGACCATTATTTTATAATTTATTGTCATCTCTATCTGTGCTCTTTAAGAGAGTATTCTAGCCATATTTCTGAAAAAATACATTTATATGAATGATTGTTCCAGTCCCATGGCCATTGAAGTTGAAAATATCGGTTTTTAGAGTACCTACTAACCCATCTCCATTTTCGTCAAGACTTGACAGGGCCATCACACTCTCTGAATCTAAAAATATCTGTATTTGTGGTATGAGTATGACAGTAACACACAAAGATGGGGCAAAATTAATACTTCAAGGTCTATAACTATAATTTAGATTGAGCTTACTAATAAAATAATTCCTAAACACAAAATGGTACCCATGAAATAATTCTTTCTAAAGTTCTAAGATATCATTAAAGATATTATCTTCATTGACTTTTATAGTGAGAAATCCACCAAATAATTATTTACCACACGGAGGCTTCATCTCTAGATGTTCATCACCGTGCAGTTAATGTTACTCACTTGTTATCAATATCTACATATTAGAGTTACAAGAGTGGAAAGCTTTACATTCTGCAGGCTCCAAAGGTAAATCAATAATGATATGTTAAATGTTTTCATTTAGCAGTATTTAATTTTAGACTATAAATACTCGTTCTTCATTCGTAGAACTAAATATAGTTGAAACAAGTCACAACCCCTTTTCATGCCAAGAGAGGCATACAACGTGTAGCAATAGATATAGATATAGAGTGCACGCGTCTCCGACGTGATTCGAGAGACATCAGACAATGCTTGTAGAGTTGTGGTTCCAGGATGACAAAGTGATAGACTATATTGCGTTGATTCTTTGGCAAATGTGATCGGGTTGGAGTCATTTCTACAAGAAGTTCTACAAGCTTGAATTCTACCGAATTCAGAATTAGAACAACTACAAGCAATTCTGAAAGGCAATAGATGGTTATGGTGATCTTGCAGAAGTTGAATGTTGAACTTGAATAAATGAATACGTGACTCGAACTTTAACTTTTCATTAGTGATACCGACGCTACTGGACCTTTGACCGTGTCGAAATGTTTTCGTTCTATTTTATCTTAGTTCCCAAACATATGGCTATGCAAATTTGGGCGATGAAAAATCTCGGCAGCCCTCTCGTCCAAATTTTTCGCATATATATAAATTAATGTATATTATGGTACATACATTTTTTGTCGAACAAAAATTTGTGCATACTGATTGAGTGATTACGACTTTGTCAATTTGAATTATATTTGTAATTAAACTTAAATGATCTCATGTTAAAATTCAATAACATTTCGCGACTTGTTAAATGTTAAACATTAAATTTAAACAAGTTATGATCCTTTTTTGAAGTAACTGAGTTGTCAGTGAGTTCACTTTCAAATTACAACTTGTATCGGCTGGTCAGCGGCTGAACAAATAATATGTGACCAAAAAGATCAAGATTCAAATATACAATATTGAATATACATTGCATGCGTCAGTTTGAAATTTAAACTAAAGCCAAAGGCACGGTCCAACTCCATGCAAGTTAATATTTTATTAATGTACCGGCTTGCGGCCGGTCGAAGCGTGCACTCCGACCGGCCGCAAAAAGGGGTTGCAACGTGTGTCAATTTTAAATTGGTGGTAAATTTGGAGCTGTTACTGTTAGGGGCCATCTACTTAGAGTTAGGACGTCCGGCAAATAGGGAGGGGGTGGTTTTGGAATTTCGGACAAATCCGGACAGGGGGAGGGGTGGTTTCTGAAAATCTTACTGGGCGGCGCTCAGCCTGTCATTCCGCCTAATCTCTATTTATGAACATAAATATAATAGCCTGAGGTCCCCAGGTAATGAAAATCTGGACGTCTGGAAAATTTGGCAGAATTAACGAAAAAGTCCCATTTATTTCAACTTTTTGAATTTTGTTAACAATGAATTTGAGCTGGTTTATTTGTACTCTTAGTCTTAAAAGTAGTTGGAAATTCGGACGTCCGGGGGAGGGGGTGGTTTTGAAAATTCGGACACACCCGGACAGGGGAAGGGGGGGTGGTCTGAAAATCTGCGATTTTGGCGGACGTCCTAAGTAGATGGCCCCTTGGCCTTAGTTGGTGACTGGTACTTTATTGGTGGCCCTTTCAATCGATAGCTTTAGCTAGTAGATTAATTGCCGTAATAATGTTAAGTTTGACTTTTACACTTTTTGAAAGTTAAAAAGTTTTCCAAATCTGAATTGGACGGCAATGTGGGGAGCCTACTTTTAAATGTAACATAGCGTATTTGGTCTCAAATATCACCTCTGGCTCTGGCTCATTATTTAAATTTTACTATAGCGCGAGTTTATGTTCGCCAGGATTCAGGAATGAGGAAACTTGTTAACAATAGCGGGACCCTAAGTTAAACTTAAAGCACTGATGTTGTAATTTAAGTTTAACACTAACACTAACAGTGAGCTTGTACTTGTAGTTGTTATAAAAATATATATAATATAACTAGTTATTACTAATGTACGACTTA